AATTATGGTCTGCAGGCGAAATTTTGTTTACTGTCTCTTTTTGGTGTGTCCTACAAGCTAAGAATGTGGACATTCTTAGACAATCATGAATGTTTGAAATAAAAGAATATTTACTAGCACACAAAAACTACATGAAGTTCAAATTTCATTGTCCATGAATCATTTTTACTGGGAACAGCCATGCTCTTATGTTTATGTATTGTTTGTGCTTATTTTTGTATTTCAGTGACAGAGTTGAGCAGTTATGACAGAGATTAGGTGATCTGCAAAGCCTGCAGTATTTACTTTCTGACCCTGCATAATGTTTGCTGCTCTGAGCTTGTGGACCATTCTTAGTCCCAAGATGCTGGGGCATTTATAAAGTCACCCAGGCTCATCTGCTGGCTGTGGCTGATCTTCTCAAGATCCTACGCACTTAAAAAATCACTGGATGTGTATCTAGTGACACACATATCTGAACTGTGAGCAAAGTTCCCATTTTCAGATGTGTTCCTTTATTTCTGACAAGAATCCTGTCACTTACTCTGTGATATATTAACACTAGGCTTCGATGAAAGCTGTCAGAGGGAATTTTGTGATGTACATGGAGTCGGAGGCTCTTTAAACATCTTAAAACTTTCCTTCTAGGGACTCATCTCTACCCCCAGGTGTTTACAGGCTACATGCTTTAGTATTTTACAAGCCAGATTAGGATATGTGTAGTTAGTGTGTGTCTTAGGGTTTCTATTGCTGTGAAGAGACACCATGACCACAGCAACTTTTATAAAGGAAAATACTTAATTGTGGCTTGCTTACAGTTCAGAGATTTAGTCCATTATCACCATGGTGGGAAGCAAGGTAGTGTGCAGGTGGACTTGGTGCTGGAGAACGAGGTGAAGGTTCTTACATCTTAATCTCTCAGGCAACAGGAAGTAATACTAAGACACTGGGTATGGTTTGAGCATATATGAGACCTCAAAACCCACCTCCACAGTAATACACTTCCTCCACACCTACTCCAAAATGGCCACATCTCCTAATAATAGTGCCACTCCCTTTGGGAGCCATTTTTTTCCCAAACCACCACAGTATGAGAGACTCTGTTACTTTAGTATGGCTCAGTCAGTCAGAGCTTGGGATGAAAGGGAAGTGCTTGATTCTGTATTACACTTACTTGTCCACTTTGACCCCACTTACATCCTATGGTTAAACAAACAAAAACAAAACAAAACAAAACAAAACAAAAAACCTCCAAAACCTGATTCCTTTGTCCCCAGAAGAAAAAAATCAGGGAGTTGCAGTGGCTATTTCAGTATCCATGTTCCCCTCTATCTATGGCATGGAGAGTTACCAAAAACATACTACTACCCTATCGTAATGCCCAATATCTACAATGACACACCATTCTCATTGTCTTATCCACACAGTATTATTATGTACTTCAGTTTAAAAGACAATTTCCAGATTGTCTTTTAGGACCCAGGAGACATTAAATATAGGAGGAAAAGTGAAATAAAAGTCTGCAAATGGCTATAGTGTTGTCAGCTTGTTTTCCTAAACTGGATAGTAGCTATTTAATCATTATGATTTTGTGTCTCGGGATTTACTTGGCACCATAAAATTAGCAAACAGCTGACAGTATAGTTTTAGTATCCTTAAATTTACAGTCTTCTTTCAATATGGTGGGAACGTTGTGTGCAGTCACTGATGCTTCAAAGTGGAGGAGGCCATTTCTAGTCCTGGCAGTGGAAGAGTTAAAAACGTGCTACCAAGAAGACATGAGAGTGGTCTTCTGAGACGGGTGAAGAGGATAAGGTGCAAAAGGAGCACTGGAGGTCAGGATGTCTGGGAAGAGCATGGTATGTGGCATCAGGGAATTGGGAACTGCTAGCTCATAGTCAGGCAGTGAGCTAGCAATGGGAGAAGGGGCAGGATGCAGAAGGACTATTCCCCTACACTAAAGGGTCTTGGGTTTTATACTGTACTCAGTCAGGAATTCATGAGGGAGTATGGTTTAGACAGATCCTGCCTCAACTGTTTTACCAGGGGACTGCCAGGAACGAAGGACATGAGTTAAAAAGTGCCATAATTTGTCATAGTAAAAATTGACAAATTGGGACAGTCTTAGAAATAGGTAGAGAGAAAACAGCATCAGTTGGCTATCTCATATACATATAGACTATAAAGGGAAGGCTGACACAGGGAGGGAATCACGGATACAGGGTCTAGAACAGAAGAGGAAAACAAGAGGGTCATCATTAAGCTCTTCTTTTTTCTAATTTGTTGTTTTGTTTCTGGCATTGTCATCACGGCTTGATTTTGACAATGATGTCATAATACCAAGAACTGAAAGTGTGGGAGGAAACACCACAGCCTATGGCATGAGGCTCTTTGGGTCAGACGTTTTAGGGGAGGGTGGAACTGATAGCACATACTTATCACACGTTTACAGCTATCCTGACTTACAGATCACTACTACAATGTCCTGAATTATTGGCAGGAACAAGCACCTAAGGCATCAGGTATGGGAAAGGCTTTCACAACCCAGCCTTTCACTGTGGCAGATTTCTCCCTTATTTCTAGAGCCCAGTTTTTCTGACCTTTGATTACAAGGTACAGTTTCCCCCTTCCATTGTGAATTCCAATAACATAGTGATAGCACAACTCTGCAGAACTGAATGATTCCTGAGAGATGTCTTAGGAACCCCTATGGCCTTGACTGGACCAGCATCCAGTTGCTTTCCAGTCAAAGATTATCTATTGGAAAGTGAAAAGTAAAAGACAGGCTTTGGTCCTCTCTGTTGACGTTGATACCTTAAAAGGGAGGTGTAGACTGAAGTTTTCCTGTGTCCTGCAGCCGCTCAGTCTCAAATAAACACACAAAGGTTTATATTAATTACAAGCTATTTGGTCTATGGCTTAGGCTTACTATTAACTAGCTCTTTCATCTTTAATTAACCTATTTCTATTAATCTATGTATCACTATGTGTCTCGTGGTTTTACCTGTATTTCATTACATCTTGTTCCCCCAGCAACTCTAAGTGGCTGTCTCAATTCTGCCTTTCTTCTCCCTGTCTCTTTCTTGAATTTCCTGTCTGGCTATAACCTTTCTTACCATAGGCCAGCTCCTTTACTAACCAATAGTAGCAACACATATTCACATACATACACAGCATACAGAAAGACCATCCCACAGCAGGGAGGGTATTTAAAAAAAACACAAATAACAAACAAACAAAATCCAACAATCCCCACTTTAACACGTATGGGCAAAGTACAATCTTTGGAAAACTACCCTGAAGGGGAAACCATGTACCTGATGGCTCCCAAGCAGGCTGTCTGCATTTCTATTGGGCAAGGCTTCAGAAATTCATCTGCATTTCAACAAAGTTGTCTTTTAAATGAAAGAAATTAAAAGATACTTCATTGAGGAATGAAATTCCAGTTGGCTGAAGCTGAACAATGTCTGTGTCTCAGATGTTATTTTAGGAGAAGGTGACTGGGCTGGACTGTCGCCAAATGAAATACAGGATGAAGATGGCATCATGCCCAACATCTCCAAAGCTATAAGTTTTGGAAACTCAGTTTTACTCTCTTAGTTGTTTTAGAAATTAGGTTTTAAGATAGCTTTGGGGTGAGAGGAGAATTGGATCCCTCTCTCTTTTAATACAATCACAAAAAGTGTGGCGAGATTATAGGTTAAATACTACGATAAGATGTTAAAGACAGTATTTAAGAAGGGAACAGTTGTGATTGGAGGAGAAAAAGTGTACAAGTTGGCAGGAAAACTCTTAGATATAAAGCTAGTTTAAGCAGAATCAACTGGGAAAGAAATAAGTGTTGGCTCAGTGTTATGCTAGAAGCCAGCACAGTGAGGAATCCAGGACAGAGCTACTCACTAGAAACAAGCCATGACAGAACCTGCTAGTGCATGGTCTGGGTCAGGAGCCAGTGGCTCTCCGTGGAACGACTGTCATATACCAAGGGAGGCAACACTATATGCATATGCCATGAAGCAGACAGTGACTCTGAAGCAGTGACATCATCCTGAAATGTAACACTTATGGTACAGGGGAAATGGTAGAGAAATATTCTGTGATCATAGTCCTTAGACTAAGAGGTATGAAATGGAGCAGGGGTGGGTCCTGGAGGAATGGGCTTTTGAGTACAGAGAACTGTGGTGGGAACATCTGTATACTGAATGTTCTCGTGACCCAGGTGAAAAGGTGGTTTACATGTATATTTGAATGCACATTCTCTTTTATTGATATTAATATGCATTTATGCAAATATATAACCTATTGTCATATGCAAAATTTATCAACTACATTGGCTCATTGGTGTGCTTTATCTTTTCATGTGACTATGTACATGTCTTCAAACACACGTAATTGGTTTTTAGAATGCCTTATGTAAATCATGAATTCCTACGTAAGTAAGGATAAAAAGTTGCAAGAACTAAGCTTCCTACTTCCTCAGTTGTGGGGCACTTGGCAATTCATGTGGACTTCACTGGAGACTGAGGACAGTTATACGGAGAATTTCTTTGTTGCTGCCTCCACTTTTCTTCATCAAAGTTCTGAATCCTTGCTGAACTGACTGTTGACTTGATCTCACCCTGTGGTGCTGGTACATCTTCTCTCCCTCTGTCTTCTCCCAGCATCTAACCACTCTGAAGACCCACATATGTTCCACCTTCTCTTTCTCATGGATGTTCTGAGGAAACAGCATTTACTCTCTGAATTAGAAAATTTTCAGATGCTTAACTGCTCCTCCTCCCTTGATCAGATCTTATCCAACAAAGAGTCTCAAAACGAGTGCTGATCCACAGTGAAAATAGATTCTGACAGCCAGTGGGGCTGTAAGCTGCAACAGCCCTGGGGAGGGCTTTGGCAAATCAGCCCTTCACTGTGTGAGTTTTCTGTTGCCTACAACTTGACTTTCCTGACCTCGGACCACCTCTCTATCTTTAAACAACTCAGACTTTTTTAGAGGTTTTCAAATGTAAAGACTTTCTTACCCGATGCCAGGAGATCATTGATAAGCACCAGGAACCTCTCGTCAGCCACGTGGGCATCAGTCATGAGAAACACCGTGCTGAGATTTTTCACCCCAGCTTTCAGACACAAGCTGGCCAGGTCCACCTGCAAGATTGTCAATATTAGGGATTCCTCAGAAGAGATTGGCAACTTACTCTTCAGGAATGGAAGCATTTGCTTATCTACATCAGTTGGACATCAAGCAAGATGGCAATGGGAGGTAGGGAGGAATGCTACTTTTCAGAAAGGGGTAGGGAACTATGCCACACTTCTAGGCAGCTCCTGCAGAACGATAACTGAGGTGGTCCTTTCCAAAGGACAGGTATGGTCCTTGCTCAAATGTCATCAAGTAAGTGAATAACTTGCTCCAGAAGGCAAACTATCAGAAAAGTCATGCACTAGGGCCTACCTGTACAGGAATACATGTGTCTCATACCAGCAATGCCTTGTGCTCTTATGATGAGCTCAAGAGAAAGACTTTGATTGAAAAAAAAATGTGCTGGAGAACACAGACATAGGTGCAAACACAAAACCACCCATGGGAAACCCAGTCAAAGCTGAAGATGGATGAAATCTGGGGCTAAGCTGCCAAGCCCTGAATTTATCCAGTATAACCCATCTTGGCTCCTTGTAGTATAACTCTTACAAGGTTTATATTGCATCCCACTATGCTTCCTTCTCCCTAGTGCCCTTCAGAGCTGATTTCCTAATGACGTCACACATTCTTTTATTGTAGAACTTCTGTAGTATTCAAATAACACTTCAAAGGCAACTGGCCTCTTTTTGGATTAATGGTTCTTATCCTGTACTTAGGATTTAAGACAGTGTTTCTCAATTCTCCTTAGAATCACCCAGAGCAGTGGTTCTCAACTTGTGGGTCATGACCCCTTTGGGGGTCAAATGACCCTTTCACAGGGGCCACTTAAGACCACTAGAAAACACAGATATGTACATTACAATTCATAACAGTAGCAAAATTATAGTTATCAAGCAGCAATGAAAATAATTTTATGGTTGGGGGGGTCACCACAACATAAGGAACTGTCTTAAAGGGTCACAGCATTAGAAGGGTTGAGAACCACTGACCTATAGTATCCTTTGAGCAGTCCCGATGCCCAGGTGGTTCCCCACACAAGCTAAATCTGAATGGCTTGGGGAGGGAGGCAGACATCAGCATTATTGGAAAATCCCCAGAGATTCAGGTACATGGCCAAGATTTAGCATAACACCATTCTGTAAATGCTCATATCCCAGCCCACTATCTTGTCTTTGGAAACACTGAAGAAAGACCACATCCAAACCTGGATGCAGCCAATGTTGACAAACTGGGCTGTGGCTTCAGAGCAAAAGTGAATATCTAGTGCTCTCATCACTGCCGGAGAGAATATGAGGGCAGGTGGGTAGGCCTGGCTTAGTGCTGGCAGGAGTTCTAGGAATACAAAGGACACTTCTTGATGGAAATTATACTGTAACTTTCTACAGTGACATGGTTGTGGCTGTGGATATAAGAGGCTGCTGGAGAAATGACCTTTGAAAGTCGTATATATTGCCCTTCTTCGCTGTCCAAAGCATAGGCTGTGGCTTCTATCTGAAACCAGAAAATGTCCCAGGAGGTCCCAGAAAGCAGTGGTTATTCCCTTTCTTTTAAAATATGAATTTCTTATAAAACTTGGTCAGACTGTCTACTAGAGCAGCTAGCAAGCTGTGTGCTAAATCTGATACAGACAGGGCAAGAGCCCAGGCACACTGATGTAAAAGGGTGGATGAGGTCCCATTGAGGCTGACCCTGGAAAGGACACTGTGGAAAGAGTGCTGACCCTGGAAAGAGCCCCTCCTATTACCAGCCTGGGAACTAAGGAGAAAATGGACAATTAATAGGAGGTTCTGGGTAGGGGATGTAGAGAACCAAAGAAAGATGACAAGGATTGTAGGTGGCCAGAGAGAGGCAGGGTCTCCTCCCACAGTCGCTGAACTTACCTTGAAGTCAGGGATTTGGTAACCTTTGCGCAGGGTGATCTGGAACACATCCATGGAGCTGATGAAAGCTGCCAGCCTCGTCAGACTCTGCTTACCACTCCCTCCTACGCCAACTAGCAGGGCATTTCCTCGAGGGGACTCCAGGATTCGGTTGATGTGACAGCTGAGGAGGAGAAAGCAGAAGCCTATCACAGAGGCCACTGTCCACAGTGAGAAGCATGAAGGGCATGATGGTTGGAGAGGAAGCTGGGGCCTCTCTTGGAGGTATAACTGAACTCTGGGGAACTTCCATAGCTTGTCCTCAAACTTGGTGTCACCTTCCTGCCCAAGTGCACTGCAATTGTCATTGTTTTATCTAAAGCCAGAGGCCCCAGTGAACCAGGGAGAATCAGGGAAAAGTCCAGGGCAGCCTGGCAGTCCTGACAGGGTGAGCGGTGAGGCTGGAGAGGGACTCTGGGTGATTTTCTTCTTCTCCCTCACTGAATCTATCTTTATCCCAATCCCCTCTTTCTTACCTATTTGTGACTTTGGATAAAAGAGGGACCATGAAAATGTAGAAAACATGCTATTAGGAAAACTATCAGAGAAGGCTAGAGCTGCCAAGGCAAGGCAAGAAGTGTCTGTCTTAGGAAGAAAGGGAACAAAGTTAAAGCAACGGGAAGAAAGCAGGGAGTCCAGACTTGAGTCCCTGCCCTCTCACCCTTCCGGGATGCTGATGTTCAAGCAATGGATATTTGCAGATGCTGAATGTCAGCCTTCAAGGCACTTACTTCCTTGGGTTCTGGATTCTTCTCCTCTAATATCTTAGCACTTCCAGCACTTATTTCTCTACCCCAGCAATGGGAGAGTATTTCAGTTTCCTCTGGGCTTAGATCATTACCTCTAAAGGAAGCCACTCCCAACCCAAGAGACTTCCCTCAAATGACACACTGGCAGCCTCCTTCAGGCTGCCATGCCAACCTTCCATTAATTTCCACCAGCAGTGGATCTTATATAAGGCACCTAACAGCTTCTCATTATATGAAATATAGAAAACATAGGGAAAAACCCACAATTCTATTTTCTAGCAATAAATCCTACTGACATTAATTTTATGGCCTTCTAGACTAGTGTGTCTGGATGTCTGTGAATATATATTTGGTTATTACATCTGAAATGTCAATGCATTTCTATCCCATAGCTTTTAAAATTTGAGGGCAGCTTATATACGAGCATAAGGTTTTGTTTATTTGTTTTCAGTCCTGGTAATCAAATCCATGTCCCCACAATGATAAGCAGCACTCTACCACCAAGCCAACCCTTAGACATTGAATATAATGTCTTGAAACCAATTTTTCATTTAGCTGTAGATTGTGATGACTTCTCTGAGCCTTTAAGCAGTCTCCTAAGCCATGCATTTGATGGTAGAATACTACCATATAGAATATCAATATTGTATTGATAATAAAAATACAATAACTTGCTTGCCTGAAATACCCTACTATTTGATACTTAGGCGGCTTCCAGTGTCTCCACTTCCAAATAATATGTCATAACATTTTGTTTATATCTCCAATCATTTCCTTAGGGGTGAGTTTCCTAGATGTAAAATTGCTGAGCCAAACAGCAAAGCAATATTTTAATGGCTCAGGAAATTTAATGAAAAAAAAAAAAGCGCTTCAGAATGGTGGTGGTGCCCATCTGTGCTCTTCTCAAGTAAAACAACTGACCCAATGGTTCCATCATGCTGGAGGGCAAGAACACACTGAGCTGCATTCACTGAGTTACAGTGTAAGTCAGTGAATTCCAGTGTTGGTGGTCTTCAGACAAAAAGTATGAGAATTAAAATTTGGGTGTTGTACTTCTGGCTAAGAAGCAGAGGATCCATTCGAGTTTGGATTATACACACTACATTCCTGCATCCCTGACCTATGTTAATGATACTACTCCATATCCAAAACAAACAATGGTGAACAATTAAGTTCTGGCTAACCTCAGTGTGTGTGGGTGATACTTGGGAGTGGTTTTGGAAGATGAGGTTTGACAGGTTAACAAAATATGCATGCATGTGAAGTTGTATGTATGACTCAGTCATGATCAGCATAAGAAACCGTGGGTTCTCACTGCCTCATCTCTCCTGTGGAGCATATTTGCTGTTGGAAAAGAAAGCTTTGCATAAGTGTTTGTGTGTCAACAACCCCTTCAGCAGCATGCAGTGGGCATGGGCCCCATTTATGCATGTATATATTTATTATATATACACACACATATATCTGACAATTTAAAAAGCTAAATATTATAGTTTTGATTTTAATTTGATTTTCTAGGGAGTTGAATACTTTTTATGTATCTGAATCACGATGTTTTTCATTTGTGCATTTTCAGTTCATGTTTTTTCATCCAAGGCTCACTTCTAAATTTGTAAGGCCCTTTCATGTGCATTCTGAGTCCCCTTCAATTTTCACTTTTAGCCCTTTTGTTTTCCTTTGGTGCCTTAGAAGAGATAGAGAAATATTTAGGACTTAAAACCATATGGCACCGAATTCTGTGTGGTTAAGACTTGTCTGCCTAAATATTCAGGAGTTATTTATTGGCCTACATTTCCTTCTTTTATTACTTTCCTTTTTCACTCCACTTATTTAATTGTGGATCTTATGCTCTGTCATTACCAGCTAGATTTACCCTTCTCTTGCCTTCTTATTAAACTATCATTTCCACATGCCTAAAGAGTGTGCATGTTCATTTTGTATCCATTACAGAGCGAGCACATTGAAGCTATCCAATACAGTTTTATTAAGTTGAAACAAAACCCAGTGTTTGCACTCAGTAGCACATTTAAGGCACTGTCTGTAATTTTTCATTATGCTCCGTGCAAGGGATTGTTTTTTTTGCATCTGCACTGGTGCCTGATGAAAGGAGACACTGGTGTCCAGCATTTGGGCCCTGTATTCTCATTCAAGAATGGTGGAGACTGGAATGGATTGCTGGAGGAGAGGGGCAGTCTTAGAGGAAGAATTGGGGCACAACTGGTCATTGGACTACTTGGTACCCAATTCTACTCTTGTAGGCCTGAATTCAGCATAGCATGGGCTCTGTGATTCAATATCTAGATGGGAAATGCATCGCTAGTGATGAGGTTTCTGAGTTAGAATGGGTAAGTCTGCAGCCGTCAGCATTAGACTCCAGCTGGGGCTTCATTAGCAACCTCTGACAAGGGCAAGGGACTCTGAATTTAAATCACAAACTTTAAAAAGAAGATCAATATTCTAGAGGACTCCTGGGCTAGAAAACCGAGGCTGTCTATGTTAAGCCCATTACTGAATTTCTGAGAGATTAAAAACAAAAGCTGAAGATGCCCCACAGCACAGCTGGAGGAAGCTGGTTCTTTGAAGACACACACACACACACACACACACACACACACACACACACACACACACACACATCTGAAGGTCTGTGTGATTAATAACTACTGTGATTCGAAGAGGAGAAAAAGAACATGCTGAAAATACACATGAGGAAGAAAAACAAAAAGGCAAAGAGAAAAGTTGGATGACGATTGTACCAAAGCCAAGTAAAGATCTAGCGTAAAGCCTTCAGCAAGGGCAGAGCAGACTCTGCCGGCATGGTGAAGGGAGTCATCAGAGGGGCTTCCAGAAAGAGAAGAAGGCACACAGCGAGGCTGCTTCCCTGAAGCTGTACAGAGGTAGCTGTGTCGATGTTATCTAGTCCCCAAGCACAGGTGAGATGGTGGATGGATGGGTGGATGTTAAACCAAGTGGAAAATCACAAGGAATGCAGCCTCTGACCAAGGACCATGAGGTGTGGACCTGGCCCTAGCATTGGACCTTAGTGAGAGGTAGGTAAGAATGCTCACAGTGACTTGCTCATGTGGCAAGAAGAGCTGGTTGAAGCTGAGAGGAGAAAGCGTGACAGGTATGGACTGCCTCTGTGATGGGTTCTGTTGTGAGCAGGAGCAGAGAAATGGGGGTAGTAGAGGAAAAGGAAGACTGGACCAAGAAACAGCTTATTCTATTTTTGACAACTGAAAATGTTCACGTGCTGATACATATGACCCAGAAATTAGTGATGGGGTAAAGTGTGAGGAGGGAGGAATGGGGGAATAATTACAGGAAGAAGGATGGTTACCAAGGAAGTAAAAAGGAATGGGACCCCACGACAGGGGGAGTGACTGGCCTTCAGAGGGAACAAGGAGATTCTTGAGCTGAAATAGGAAGACTGATAGGACTTTATGCATGGGATGCATGAGGCAGGTGGGTTCAGGTAGGCTCCATGTGCACAGGAGGTGAGTGTGAGCATTCTCTTTAGTCACTTTTATTATCTCAGGAAAATAAGATTTGCGTTCTCTAGCTGTAACTGAAGACAGGGCAGGACTGTCAGAATTTCAGGCCACGTTTAGGGTCTACATGATTTGTCTGGCCATAGATAGGAAGCAACACTAGCCATCATGTTAGGGGGACTTTAACAATTGGGAGAGGGATGAAGAGGAGGCAGTGTGGCTTAACTAGAATTGTATTTGGTACCACAGACACACTGGCAGTAAGTTAGAGAAGCCTGGGTTAGGATAACTATCTGTGAACCAAGAAGACATGGCAGGGAAAGGGATATGGGAGTATAATGTAGCATCTGGCCCATAAATGGAAGTCTTGATGGAGTAAAGAACAGCTAGAGGTTGGGAGGCTACTGGAAGGGGAAAATGGACCTGTGAGTCACAGAGATATTTGTAATTCAGACTCCGAAAGTGAGATCATCACTGATAGTAGACATGGTGGGCAAGAGTATGTGTTTGAGGGTCTGGGCATGTAGACAAGGTCACAGGAGCCAAAGAGGCCAGTGAACACACAGATCAGGGCTAGATGTCAGGAAGAAGACCGCCCAGGTGCTGAATGAGGGGAAGTAACTGAGCATCAGTAGACATTGTCAAGGAGAGAGCAGGACCGTGAAAATAGAGAGCCTGTGCTTCAGAATGACTGGATCTTCTGAAGGTTAGTGGGGAGGGGACTGGAGAGATGGCTCCGTGGTGCTCTTGCAGATTACCTGGATTTGGTTTATAGCACCCACATGGTGGCTCACAACCACTTGTAACCCCAGTTCTAAGGGAGCTGATGTCCTCTACTAGCCTTTACAGGTACCAGGCACATGCACAGTATACATACATACATACATACATACATACATACATACATACAGGCAACACACTTATATACATAAAACAAAAACAAATACATCTTTTAAAAGGGAGAAATGGCTTAAATATACCATTGTGGTGAGGGTGAGGATAAGGAGCCTGTCCCTCTCTGAGCTCTGGGGTTCATGGGATGGGTGGGGAAGGAAAACAGCTTCCTTCAACTCAGGTGATAGCCATGCTTCAGTCAGAATTTAGCAGTGAAGACCCAGAACCTTGGGCAGGACAGAAGGACACTGGAAGGCACCAAGAGTGTCAACTCAGACTGGACAATATAAAGGGCTAGATAGGAGGCACACTGTGTGAGTGTAAGTTATCTGGGCGTGCTGGTGATTATTGTTAATAATTGACTACCTAGTACAAGCACACATAGTAATATTTAAGTTTTGAAATATATGTGTACTTGGAAAAGATGTGTGTGTGTGTGTGTGTGCGTGTGCGTGTGTGTGCGCGCGCGCGTGTGTGTGTGTGTGTGCGTGTGTGTGTGTGTGTGTGTGTGTGTGTGTGTGTGTGTGTGTGTGTAGATGGGGGTCCTGGTGCCTCTTTTATGATCTCAAATCTCTGTGTTGCTGTGATTATAAACAGGTGCAGTAAATGAGAATGTGGAAGTAAATCCAATTCTGCCTGATCTGAGCCCTGTGTTCTACTGGCCCCTTTGGCCACTGGTAAAACTGCAGCTGTAGCACTACCAGCAGCCATCTTGACCCTCACTGATGGATAACAATGGCTGACTTCTAGCTTAATGGAACTGTTCTGGGTTGATGTGGGGAATCTGGTCAAAATGCATAGCATGAAATTCTTAAAGAACTAATTTTAAAACTCTAGGAAAAAAGAAAGTGACTTGGAATAACTGAGTGAGACCTCCCCGACACTAGGAAAGAAAAGCCACGAAGAGGACCTAAGGAAAAGACTGCACACTCACACATGGTGCACAGCGTCCTCAAAGAGAACCAGGTCCATCACAGCATTGACTTCATTGTGACTCTCCAGGGCTTCCACCAGAGTCTGGCTCAGAAGTTCCCATGATTGCACGGGCATGTATTTGGGCTCACCAATGCCATTTGCAAAGTGACAATACATGTTCAGGCTTTGGGTCTTCTGCAGCATCTCTTCAATATCCTGGTGAGAAGACACAGGGGTGAGGCTCTTCTATGCTCTCGTCTGGTACCACATATGGTGGAGATCCTAACCTGACTGCTTCCTCTACATGCTCCATGAAAAGCCAGCATCGGAGCTACTTCCTCTTTGAGACTTCCCTAGGAGGTGGACTTTTACCCTGGGTTTACCAAATTCAGGAACTCAGAAACCTTGTTTGTTAATCCTTACAGATTAATGGTGGGAAGTGGAGAATGGGAGGAATCCACCTTTAAAGCACTGTAAGAATATTTTTGTTTTCAAAAGAGTGGATGAGGACACAGGTGGATTTCTCTAAGCAGGACCTTCTTTGGCAATGTTGGATACAAGGGATCACAGCCCAGTGGCCTCGCTTACTCTACATTCATTTCAATGGTTCTTATTCTCCAACCTACAACATGATCATAAAGCATGTCTCCTGTGAGGTTGGCTCCACCCATAGAGAGGACTTGGTTTCTGAAGAATATTCTCGCAGCTCCTATCCTTAGTTTGCTGGTCTCTATATAAGGTTGTTCATAATATGAAAACATTTAGAGTGGAGTGCACTGTTTATAAAACTTTCATAAGGGCCAGGAAGTGATGGCGCATGCCTTTAATCCCAGCACTCGGGAGGCAGAGTCAGGCAGATCTCTGTGAGTTTGAGGCCAGCCTGGGCTACAGAGTGAGATCCAGGACAGGCACCAAAGCTACATAGAGAAACCATGTCTTAAAAAACCAAAAAAAAAAAAAAAAAAAAAAACCAAAAAAAAAAACCAAAAGAAACCAAACCAAACCAAAACAAAACAACCCCCCCCCAAAAAAAAACAAAGAAAAAAAACAAAACAAAAAACTTTTGTAAGGATTCTGTCTTACCATTTGTCAAATCTTACCCCAGGACAAACATTACCATATTGTATAATGACTAGTACAATTGGGTTAATTAAACAGATACAACTCTTCATCTCTTCATTATCAACACATTCTCTAGGTACTTTGGAGGCTGCTATTGTTAGTTCACATTAGAGGGCACAATGGCAAATTATTTGCTTGTCAAAATCTAGATACCCAAGACTTCATGTGGGAAGAGATATTATAGAAGTGATGTGTCCCAGGAAGGCTTTCTGAAATTCAGACTAGGAAATCCTTATGGGAAACAGATGATCAGTAGGGGCCACTGCCAGGACTAAGTCACAACAGTGTTAGCCTTATAAACTTCCTGGGCAAGAGCCACCAAACACAATGGAGAGAAAGTGAGCAGGGCAAACCCCACACAGAGAAACCAGGCATGCTGTCCGAGCATAAGAAAGGGGGCTAGATTGACTGTCAGATTTGCCCTGACTTTTGAGGGTCTTTTCAGGCCCATTAAAAAAAACCCTAACCTATTGTAGCTTTGTTAATTGTAACAACAATTGCCCAGACATCTGGGTAGGTTGAATAAAGCAAAAGAATTGCTTTTTCTAGTTTAAGAAGATGTAATAGGGGTCTGTGCTGGCTAGTTTTATGTCACCTTGACACAAGCTAAAGTCATCAGAGAGGAGGGAGTCTCATATGTGGAGAGAAAATGCCTCCATAAGCTCAGACTACAGGCAAGCCTGTAGGGAATTTTCTTAATTAGTGATTGATGGGGGGAGGGCCTAGGCTGTTGGAGGTGGGGCCACTCCTGGACCAGTGGTCCTGGGTTCTATAATAAAGCAGACTGAGCAGACCATGGAGAGCAAGCTAATAAGCAGCACCCCTCCATGGCCTCTGCATCAGCTTCTGCCTTCAAGTTCCTGCCCTGCTCAAGTTCCTGCCCTCACTGCTTTTGATGATTAACTATAACATGAAACTATGAATGAAATAAACCCTTTTCTTCCCAAGTTGCTTCTTGGTCATGATGTTTCATCACAGTAATAGTTACTCTAAGACAGGTTTGGAGAAATGGCTCAGTGGTTAAGAGCACTGGATGCCCTTCAAGAGGACCAGGTTTGATTCCAAGCACCCACGTGGTGGCTCACTACCCTCTGTAACGTCAGTTCCAGGGGATCCAATGCCCTCTTTCAGCCTCCAGGGGGACCAGCCATATACATGGTACACAGACATATGGGCAGGCAGAATACCCATACACATAAAATAAAAATAAAATAAATAAGAAAGCACAGGAGAGGAATGCAGAAACACATTGGCCCATCTTGAAACAAGCTAACATACTGGTTTGATCCTGATGGGTGCCGATTTACACTTAGGATCTATCAGGAGAGAAAGGAAAGTGCAGTTTTGAAAAGCCTCGTCTACAAAGATTCTTTGATGAACAAAACAAGTCTCCAGTTTAGTGATCAGAGCCATGTTGTGTAGAAGGGAGAGAGGAAGCCACCCAATACGGTGAATCAAAGCATACTTAACAGTGACACTATGTCACCCAGAGCTACAAGTCAGGGAACTTGAGGCTTTAAAAACAGGGCTGAATCACTTTGTGATGAATCTGGCAACGTTGTCCTGATCCCAGTGCTAGGATACATGTAGGCAAGGGGATTCAGCTGTCTTCCCAGGTGTTGTCAGAATAATGACCATGTGAACTATATTTTGGTCTCTGATCAAATGATGTGTGCCTTTCATTCAAACCCACACAAGGAGCTCTACTTCAAACATGGAGTATTGACTTTAAAGTTCTAGCTCAGACCAACTCATAAAAACAAAGCTTATCTGCAAATTTAACTACAAGTGCACAAGTTGGCTAACTCTGCACTACTCATAGTGGGGCATCTAAGATGGAGAGACCTGAACATCAGGCTCCATGAAAATGATGCAGGAAGTAGAAGTGAGGGTGTTTACCTTGAAAGCGTAACAGGTTCTTTCAAGCACCAGGAAGTTGGCCATTTAGACTGAGATGGGTTGTGACATCCTCAGAGGGTCTTACCAGAAGAAAATAGAATATGGATCTAACGCAGAGTGGGTGCTGCCGTGTGGATGTGGCTTGCTCCCCAAAGGTTTACATGTTGACAGCTAGATCCCTAGTTGGCTATGTGATAGACACTGGTCTCTTTAAAAGGTGGGGTCAGACAGAAGGTGATGAGCTCACTGCTGACACTGCCCTCTGAAGCTAATGATTCTAATCTTGGGCAATGTGCTGTCAACTCTTCCAGGAGTGCGTTATTATTGAAAAGTGAGCCTAATTCATCGATCTCATCTCCTTTCAGCACCCTGTCCCTTCTACCGCTGCACCTGCCATTGCCATGAGTCCCCTCATAGAGGCCAAACCATAGGGCCACCCCATCTTAGACTTTCAGCTTCCAGATCTGTGCTCCAAATACATTTAAGTCTAAATTACCCAACCTAAGGTATTTTGTTAAAACAACAGAAGACAGGCTAATTCATTGAGTATAGAGAGAGCATAGTGTATTGACAGACAGGGTTTGATTATTTTTAATTCAAAAGAGGACAGAAAACATGGGGCTCTGCTTGAAGGTTCCATGTTAGCTGCAGGGTAATTTTGACACTGGGAATGTCAGTGTTCTGGTATCCAAGGCACAGTTTCTGTTCTAGTCATTCTATGAGTTAGGAGCTCTTGACAAAGGCAAATGAGTTTTAGGGTGCAATGTATTTGCAAAATGGTGTGTGAATTAGGATGATTCCAGACTTCTGGGTTTAAGTGTTAAATGCACCATGAGTTTCCAAGAGCGGGGTATCATATGAAGCCCTTCCTCACTCTTTCCATCAAGATGTGTTTCCAACTGTTTAGATGGGCACATTTTGAGGTCACAAAACTATGGTGTAGCAGAAAAGGGGGTCACATGGTGGCACATGCTTGCGATCCCATTTGTCAGGAGGTGGGAGGCAGGAAAATCGAGAGTTCAAGGCTAGCCTAGGGTACATAGAGACTTGGATACACAGTGAATTCAAGAACAGTTCAGCTGTATAGCAAAGCTCTATTTCATAGTAAAGGAAGGAGGAGGGGAGAAAGGAAGTGGGGGAAGAGGAGGAGCTGATGAGATCACCAGTAGTTCTTCTCTCTGATTTCTGGACAGGGAAATATATGAAGTCATTAATTCTAGAGTCTAGAGTCCGAAATAATTCTAAATGTTGTTTAAGAATTGCTCCATATTTCCAGTTATTAACACTTTCAAAATGGCGACCATGGGAGAGCTGAGAGCTCACAGTATCAGGATGCTGCACACCATCAGAGATGTTACCTGGGGAGCTTGGAGGGGCCTCAGTATCACATGTGCCTGTGGATTAGATACTCTCTAGGGATTCTTTCAATGTGAGATCTATGAATAAACTACATCTTGTCCTTCATTTTGTGACCAGGCAAAATCATGATAGAATTTCCTTTTTCAGCCCAATCTCTGGCATTCCCCAATTTAGTGGATTAGATTGATTTGGGTGATCATCTGCATGTTCATCATTATTTATTTGTTTTTAAACATAAAAACACCACAGGCAACACTTACATCAAAATTTTTCTTGAGGAAGTCTGTTTGGATTTTGTCAAAAAGATCGAGATCCTTTTCTTCCACCATCTTATCTCGATAAACCCGATTTGATTCATGCAGATAGAGTTTTACTAGATCCTGTGTGGACTTCACACATTCCACGGAGGAGAAGAGAATGCCCTGTCAGGAGAACAGACAACAGATAATGTTAGCAACAGCTCAGAAGGACAGCAGCTAAAAGAACTTTCTAGAACAATGGTTCTCAACCTTCCTTATGCTGTGATCCTTTAATACAGTTCCTCATGCTGTGGTGACCCCTAACCATAACATTATTTCATTGCTACTTCATAACTGTAATTTTGCTAACTGTTATGAATCATAATGTAAATATTTTTTGGAGATAGAGGTTTGCCAAAGAGATTGTGACCCACAGGTTGAGAAACACTGCTCTAGAGCATTTTGTCCAACCTGGGATGGTGCCTGGGAGTTACCTCACTAAAGAGTATGTTGCAATGGAGGGGACATCTGGATGCTCAGAAGGAGTTTGTGGGGAAAGACATGTTATTTTTCAGTCCTACATGGTTCATTTTGAAAATTGATTTTGGCAATGGTTGACTGTGTAAAATCAGAATAATGACAGATGATAAGATGGGAATAGCTGGCCTTTGCAGATCAGCAACCAATGTGTTCATCTCGATTGAGTTCCCTTCTTAGGTGTTACAGAGATGCGTTGATTCTTCAAGTCTCTTTGCTATTATTAGCCAACACATGAACATCTGCTTTCAATGAAAAAGAAAATGGAGGCAGATTTAACAACATCAATGGGTCTTCTATCTAGCTTTAAACTCATCCTCTTGTTTACTCTCATTGCTTTCTTGTCCTGGAGGACATGGGGCCACTTAATGGTTCCTTGTTTTCATACATAACACAAACATCTGTTAGTAACATTGCTACAGTCTACTCCTCATGATCATTCTCATCATTACCTCCCCTGACACCTCGTTTCCACTTTTAATTTTGTCTTTCTGATCCTGCACCCTTTTTGTGCCTCCGTTCTTCCTTGTTTACTTCCTATGTGTGTTTTTCATGATTCCATTCCTTAATGCCTTTGTTAAAGACTTCTGAGATGCTCTTCTGTTGAATAGTACCTGCTCTGATATACCTCACAGGGTCTTTTCTGTATAAATCTCCAATATAGAAACATTATCTTCTCAGATTATTTTTTCTCCAAGTTTGTTTATTGCAGCTCATGATAACTCTCAGAGGAAAGCAGATGGATTTCATTATGATTACAGCTGATTTTTGTCATTGTATCACCAGTACCTAGCATGCTGCCTGGCATAGATTTGCCACAGACTCTCCCTTTGAAAGATATATTTAAAAGTTACATGTATGTGCATGTACCTGAATGTGGGTATATGGACATAAGTGTAGGTGCCCACAGTCCAGAGATGTCAGATCCCATAGATCTGGAGTTATGGAAGGCTATGAGCTACCTGACATGGGTGCTGGGACCCGAACTCAGGAGCAATACATGCTTTTAACCACTGAGACATCTCTCTAGCCTCCCTGGAATGAATTCTTATTGAAACAAAGAGTGGTCTAGCATTAAATTTTCTACGCATTGCCATATGGCATAGTAAAAACCTTCATCAAGATTTCAGTTTTGGCCCAACTCGGCCCCAGGTTCTGGCCACCGGGCAGGTTCCCTGCTAGCCCCACCGGGAAGGATCCCCTTCTCCAAGACCCCTGGCAGACCCTGCAGTCTCCACGCCCTGCCCCCACGCCCATCCGACTGAGCCCCAAGCCTCTTCCTGAGACTCAGAGGCCGGCCCCCAGCTCCCATCTTGCTCCGGACTTCCCTTTTGGTTTTTTTTTTTTGGTTTTTTTTTTTTTTTTTTTTTTTTGGTTTTTCGAGACAGGGTTTCTCTGTGTAGCTTTGCGCCTTTCCTGGAACTCGCTTTGGAGACCAGGCTGGCCTCGAACTCACAGAGATCCGCCTGGCTCTGCCTCCTTCCCTTTTGGAATACTGGTGAGTACCCTTCCTTGCCCCAGACCCCATCCCTGGGCACCAGCCACTCCAGGGAAGACCTGCCCAACTTGGCCCCAGGTTCTGGCCACCGGGCAGGTTCCCTGCTAGCCGCACCGGGAAGGATCCCCTTCTCCAAGACCCCTGGCAGACCCTGCAGTCTCTACGCCCTGCCCCCACGCCCATCCGCCTGAGCCCCAAGCCTCTTCCTGAGACTTAGAGGCCGGCCCCCAGCTCCCATCTTGCTCCGGACTTCCCTTTTGGAACACTCGTGAGTACCCTTCCTTGCCCCAGACCCCATCCCTGGGCACCAGCCACTCCAGGGAAGACCTGCCCAACTCGGCCCCAGGTTCTGGCCACCGGGCAGGTTCCCTGCTAGCCCCACCGGGAAGGATCCCCTTCTCCAAGACCCCTGGCAGACCCTGCAGTCTCCACGCCCTGCCCCCACGCCCATCCGCCTGAGCCCCAAGCCTCTTCCTGAGACTTAGAGGCCGGCCCCCAGCTCCCATCTTGCTCCGGACTTCCCTTTTGGAACACTGACTTCCCTTTTGGAACACTGGTCTGTCTGAACCAAGTGTGCGGATAAGGCCAAGAACGAACCACAAGGAGATGGGCAGACATCAAGGCAGAAACATATACAACAAAATGAATAGCAATACAGCATCACCAGGCCCTAGCACTCCTCCAACACCTAGACCTGAACATCAGAAATTAGAAGAAGCAGAAGAAAACAGCCTTATGAATGACATCATGAAGAAGCTAGAGGCTTGCGTAGAGGAAAAGACAAAAAAATGTGAAGAACGCTGTAAACAACTAGAGGAAAGGGCAAACAAATTAGAAGAAATCAATAAAGTCCTGGAAGAAAACAATAAAATACTGAGAGAAAATCAAGAAAAATCAATGAAACAAATGAAGGAAACAGTCCAAGACCTGAAAAGGGAAATAGAAAAAATGAAGAAGACACAAACAGAGGGAATGCTGGAAATAGAAAATCTGAGAAAACGATTGGGAACTTCAGATGCAAGTATAATCAACAGAATGCAAGAGATGGAAGAGAGGATCTCTAGCGTTGAAGATACAGTAGAAGAAATACATTCATCAGTCAAAGAAAACACTAAAGCCAACAAAGTCATGAACCAAAATGTCCAAGAAATTTGGGACACCATGAAAAGACCAAACCTAAGAATAATAGGGGTCGAAGAAGGAGAAGAATACCAACTCAAGGGCACAGAAAATATATTCAACAAGATCATAGAAGAAAACTTTCCCAACTTAAAGAAGGAAATGCCTATGAAGATACAAGAAGCTTATAGAACACCAAACAGACTAGACCCCCAAAACAAGTCCCCTCGCCACATAATAGTTAAACAACTAAACGTACAGAATAAAGAAAGAATATTAAGAGCAGCAAAGGAAAAAGGCCAAGTGACATATAAAGGCAAACCCATCAGAATAACACCCGATTTCTCAATGGAGACTTTGAAAGCCAGAAGAACCTGGACAGATGTAATGCAGACACTAAGAGACCATGGATGTCAACCTAGACTAATATACCCAGCAAAACTTTCAATCACCATAGATGGAGTGAACAAGATATTCCATGACAAAGCCAGATTTAAACAATACTTATCCACAAACCCAGCCCTACAGAAAGCACTAGAAGGAAAATTCCAATCTAAGGAAGTCAGATACACCCTCGAAAACACAGGCAACAGATAAAGCCACAGCAGTAAACCCCAACGTATAGAAGTACCCACACATCACCACCAAAAAATAACAGGAATGAACAATCACTGGTCATTAATTTCCCTCAATATCAATGGACTTAATTCACCTATAAAAAGACATAGGCTTACAGAATGGATACGAAAGCAGGACCCATCTTTCTGCTGCATACAAGAAACACATCTCAAATTCAAAGATAGACACTACCTAAAAATAAAAGGCTGGGAAAAGACTTTCCAATCAAACGGTCTTAAGAAACAAGCGGGTGTAGCCATCCTGATATCCAGCAAAATAGACTTCAAATTAAAATCAATCAAAAGAGATCAAGAAGGGCATTACATACTCATCACAGGAAAGATCCACCAAGATGAAGTCTCAATTCTGAATATTTATGCCCCAAACACAAGGGCACCCACATATGTAAAAGAAACATTACTAAAGCTTAAATCACATATAAAACCCCACACATTAATAGTGGGAGACCTCAACACCCCACTTTCACCACTGGACAGATCTCCCAAATTGAAACTTAACAGAGAAATAAAGGACTTAACTGATGTCATGACTCAAATGGACTTAATCGATATCTACAGAACATTCCATCCTAACAAAAAAGAATATACCTTCTTCTCAGCACCCCATGGAACCTTCTCTAAAATTGACCACATACTTGGCCACAAAACAAATCTAAACAGATACAAAACAATTGGAATAACCTCCTGTGTTCTATCAGACCACCATGGTCTAAAGTTGGATTTTAACAACAACAAAAACTACAGAAAACCTGCAATCTCATGGAAACTGAATAATACCCAACTGAATCACCAATGGGTTAAGGAAGAAATAAAGAAAGAAATTAAAGACTTCCTAGAGATCAATGAAAATGAAGACACCACATATCCAAATTTATGGGACACTATGAAAGCAGTACTAAGAGGGAAATTCATAGCACTAAATGCCCACATAAATAAGTTGGAGAAATCTTACACTAGAGACTTAACAGCATACCTGAAAGCTCTAGAACAAGAAGAAGCACAGTCTCCCAGGAAAAATAGACGCCAGGAAATTATCAAAGTGAGAGCTGAAATCAATAAAATAGAAACAAAGAGAACAATACAAAAAATTAATGAAACAAAGAGTTGGTTCTTTGAGAAAATCAACAAGATAGACAAGCCCTTATCCAAACTAACCAAAAGACAGAGAGAGAGCATCCAAATCAACAAAATCAGAAATGAAAAGGGGGACATAACAACAGACATTGAGGAAATCCAGAGAATCATCAGGTCATACTTCAAAAACCTCTATTCGACAAAACTGGAAAACCTAAAAGAAATGGATGACTTTCTGGATAGGTACCACATACCTAAGTTAAATCAAGACCAGATAAACTATTTAAATAGTCCAATAACCCCTAACGAAATAGAAA